ATGGCATAGTCGGTAGCCCATTGGCCACGCGTCCCGCGAGGGGACGGAGCATTGCTAGCATTGTTCCCACAGGACCGGTCACCAGTGGCCAATAGTTCCTTCCTACTTTGCCAAAGGTGGCTCAAGTGGAGGGGAGGAGCGCTATCTTCGTTGCCTGCTTCCACAGATGAAGTAGTTGCAGGCAGGGGAGGGCAAACTAAACAATTGGGACAGAACAAAGCACCAAGAAGACAAGAAATAAAAAAAGAACGAACGGAGGACGTCGGCGGGAACACAAATCATAAAAGATAATAGAGCACGCGAGAATGACACAACACAAAAAACAAAAAAAACAGCAACTCACCATGAGTTCGTTGTACACTTCGCTGCTTGGGATGCGGAATTTGTGCTGAACGCCGCCTCCGCCGCCTCCGCCGCCAGCCTTTCCCTCGGCGGCCTCATCGCCTATAATACAAAAACGAAAGCAACCGAATCACACCGGGTAAACATCCAGCAAACATGGGAGAAAATACGTTCAAGAGAATTCCCTAACACTAGGACAACCGAGTTTTATTCTTCCGTTTCCGTTGCCGGTGGTTGCTGCAATTTCGCGTTGGTGGAGGTGGTGATACTACCCTGTGTGTTCGCGTCTTTGCTTTTGTTTTCACATGCCATGACCCTGTTCTGGCCGTACCTTGAAGGCCATGACCACATCTACTCCAATATGATGCACGTTAGGGTAACGAACACGGAAGACCGGAAGAGGGACGAGACCAAGAGAAGAACAATTTTTACGCGCTACCTCAATTGGTTCATGTATAATACATGTGGTCGGGTGTTGATAAATGACTACCGCATGTCCTGTCGACACTCTTTGCACCCGACTTTATACTCACGAGATCCCCGTCCACGCTTCTCTATCTTTCTTCTATAGCAGTGCACCAGAAAATGCTTACGGCGTATCAACTGACGGATGACTCATGCCATCAACATCGGTCCCATGAGATATTGTCAGGAGGCACGGGTAGACATTCGTGACAGGCTCACGGCATGACACAGATTACAACAACCGCGCCACGTGTCTGATTCGTTCTGCCTTTCCTGGGACTCGCTTCAATATCACGAGAAGAGGGGAAGTATGGTACGCGTGACACCAAGGGTCGAGCAGTGAGCAGCAGCAGCAACAACACCAAAAGAGTGGAAATGAAGCCGTGAGTAACCCGAGTGGCGGCAAACCGGGTAAAGGTCGAAGACGGTGACTGACCAAGGTGGCAGCCGCAGCGGAAGGCCTTGATCATTCTCCGAACTCCCTGAATGCTCTTCCTGTCGAACGCCTCTTGTCGCATGGCCTTGAGAAGCGGCATCGTGAGGGATACTCCCCCGCCCCTGTTGTTGTCGTTGTCGGTGTTGGCATCAACACACAAACGTGTGACACGAACGCACAACGCGTCACAGATACAGGAAGGACCAAAAAGGAGAAAAACAAAAATGAGGGGAGCAATAGATAAATAGCCAGAGGGAGCGATCAGAGCGATGGAGGGAGGGGGGGGGG